GATTTATTTTGTATTTGATGACGTTTCAAAAGAACCAAATTAAGGTTTAATTGAAATAAACACTTTGACTTTGACTAGGGACCTATATTTACTCAATGGCTGGTAGTCGATTTTCATCGATTTCAAAAATTCGTAATAAGTGTAGGAGAGCCATGCTTCGGGCACGAATGGGCCGACTCGACCGGTGTGATACCACGGCCTATCAGAACACCGACGTGAAACGAAACAACGCTTGCATTGTTTCGTCGTGTGAGTGAGGATACTGGAGGCCTAATTACCCCCCCTCCCTCCTCAGTCTCTCCACTCCTCGCATCCCCCACAATCATCAAATTCCCAAAAGGCCGGTCTCCATGGGCGGCGCCGATTGCTTATCATCAGGTGATCCGTCTGCTAGTTTACCGGTTCATTCCATAAAAAACAATATTCAATTATGTATCTTTATTAATATTATAAATCGGAAAGTGACTTTGTTTGTTTGTTCCGCTTTCACGCCGTAACTACTAAACTGATTGCTTTGAATTTTTGCAGACGTAAAGTTAGAAGTCCGGATTAAATAATAGGGTACTTTCTATCCCGGAAAAATTTGATATTCCCGAGGGATAATAAAAGTATTGGTATAGGCGACGCTGTGTGTATTGGTATATGTCACATAGGCTACATTTTATCCTTTTGTGACGCGAGCGAAGCCGCGGGTAAAAGCTAGTAAGTTATAATTAAAACAAAGTTTTCCACCGTGTCTGTCTGCCTGTGTACAATTACTGTTTACAAGTGTGGTGACCAGGCTTCACCTTCAGCATAGCTGTGTCGGCTCGACCCTCAGGTCGGTGCGTGAGGTCGTGGTACTCATACCTAACTACCACAGCACGTATTACGCCGAATCATCATCTGCCGACTGCCTCGTTGGCCGAGTGGTCGCAAGTGCGACTGCCGGGCAAGGGGTCTCGGGTTATATTGCCAGGTCGGGCGAAGTACAACTGGGTTTTTAAAAATTCTCAGCAGTAGCACGGAGTCTGGAAATGTGCCTGGTATATGGCAATAGGCTCACCCCCTATTACATGGGACTCATAATGTAAATAGTGAAAAGTGGGTGTTACATTGTACAGTGGCATAATGTGCACCTCTGCCTACCCCTTCGGGGATAAAAAGGCGTGATGTTATGTTCATCATATCAGCCACAGCACGTCGACTGCTGGACATAGGCCTCCCCCAATGACTTCCAGATAGGCCGTTTGGAGGCGACCTGCTCCTATTCACGCCGTGTGATTTTTTATGGAATAAGCCGGTAAACGAGCTGACGGATCATCTGGTGGTAAGCAATCCGTGTCAATCTGAAATCCGACACCTGAAACACCAGTGGTGTTACTAATGCGTTACCGGCCTTGTGGGGATTAGGAGTTTAAGGATTGTTGAGGAGTATGGTTTGGTTTCTCTCAGGCTCGAAGTCCGAGCCCTTAATAGATTTTTATGGAATATTTACCAAATAGGTTCAAATAGGCTCACCCCCTATTACATGGGACTCATAACATACTTAAATAGTGAAAAGTGGGTGTTACATTGTACAGTGGCATTAGGTACCTATGTACCTACCCAAATGTGCACCTCTGCCTACCGCTTCGGGCCTTCGGGGGTAAATGATGATGATGTTAGGTATATATTAACCAAATAATAATGAGTTTGAGGAAGTAAAATCACTACATACATAGTATAAATCAAAGTCGTTATCCGCCGTCTGTCTGTCCCTATGTATGCCGCAACGGATTGTTTTAATAGATAGAGTAATTCTTAAGGAAGGTTTATATGTATAATACATGTATATTGCACCCGTGCGAAGCCGGGGCGGGTCGCTAGGAAAAATAAAACACATCATTTCAAATGTAATCTAATTTTATTGTAAAAATCTTTTTTAAGACATTTTAAGGCAACGAATATTAATTTTACAGCTGTAAAAACATATTAAGATTACACACTATGAAAATACCAATTCAATTTGAATAACTCTTGAGTTTGTGTCTTTAACTTTTAACTCTTGACAATACTACACGACTTGACATTGAACATACGACAGGTACACAGCAAAAATTAATATCAATTGCCCAAAAACGTCAGTAACGGCGATTCATAAATTATTGCTGTATCATTTATTTATTCATAAATATTTTAATATAAGCACTGCTTACAAAACGAAGCACGCTTCAAAAATCTGTTTTTGATATATCACTCTTTTAGGAACATTGGTTTAACCCTTTGAGTACCGTCATTATAGACACAATTAAAGAAAAATAGGTTGCGGTCACCGGTGTCCTCGCGGTGTTTGACAGTTTAACCCTTTGAGCACCGTCATTATAGACACAATTAAAGAAACATAGGTTGCGGTCACCGGTGTCCTCGCGGTGTTTGACAGTTTAAGAAGGTCGTGGGTGAGGACCCGAGAGTGCCTGTACTGAGGTATCGTACTGTGTTTAAAGTTGTTACTAACCCTAGTGTTTAAGCTGTAGTTTATTTAAAAGACGCATACTAACACAAAATGGTTCCTACGCTGTCTATACATATAATAAAATCGTAGTAAAGCGAAAACTGTACATCGAATATTTTTTTAAAAGAATGCTTTGGACGTGATCTACAATCGAAACCAATCGAAATCAATCGAAAAGAGGAGTTTGAAGTTGGTTATTCGAAACGTAGTTTATAAAAAATTTGGGTAGTTTCTTTAATCAAAAAATAAATTATTTCGACTGTTCAATACAATAATATATTAAAAAATAATCACAATTCCATTAATTGATTTTACGACCAACTTAATTTTAGTATTTTTCCAGCAAAGTTTTAAGAAATATAATGTAATTGAGTCTCCGGTAACCTCACTCACATGACGAAACACAACGCAAGCGTTGCTTCACGTTGGTTTTCTGTGAGGCCGTGGTATCACTCCGGTCGAGCCGGCCCATTCGTGCCGAAGCATGGCTCTCCCCCACAGTATGAACAAATTTAGGGGTTGATTTTCAACAGGTTAACCAACACTTTCTTAAAAGAGTGATTCTCTAACAGTTTGACGGTAAAACGATCTTTGTCACGATTTTACTAAAAACATTTCACAGTTTCTGATTAAATTGCACTCTAAGATCACACACGGATCACCTGATGGTAAGCAAGCGGCGCCGCCCATGGACACCTGGAACACTAGAGTTACAAATGCGTTACCGGCTTTTTGGGGGATCGGAGGTGTTGGTAGAATATTGATCTATTAACTTTTAAACATTTTTATTTAGCTTGCCCCGTTTGTATGTTAGGGTTTTTAGTATTGGAATTTCACCCCCTTCCTGACGACAGATCGATCTGATATTTGGTACACACTCTTAATCTTGATGACCAAACAATATAATCTAATTGTTTCCACAACTACCGTCACTATGGATATCAAACGTAAAGTCTTGATGGTAGAATAGAGCTGATTAAAACCATTTAATATAACAAATATGTTTTAGCCAGCTAGCCAATCGTTTTACCGTCATTTCGGAAATATATAAACATTTGCAAAAATATAAACAGTACATAACTACTATTATTAGTTTATATTTATATTAAATATGAAAAAACATTGTTTTTTTCTAAAACCTTCACACTATGTGCGTATGATCAGAGTGTATAATTGGAATAATTTAACAATACGCCTTATGCGCGTGTCAGACTATACTCCTCGCGCCGTCGCGGAGAACCTAACGGGTAACCGGGGCTTCGGCTCGACGTGCAGGAGAAGGAACGGGGTGGTTTTTAGTCAGTAAGAGTCTGACACTCCCTTCCGCCTCACCCGGGCGGGAGCATTCGATGATTTTCTCCCCTTAAAAAAAAATACTCCTCGCGCCGCCGTGATTAGCCGCGACGTTACCCTCTCTACCCACACACTACTCTACCCGCGCAATCAATCACGACGCTCCTATTGCCGGTCCTCGTTGCCTCCTCGTATTGCCAGTCTCTTAACATCATAACAACATCACGCCTTTTATCCTCGAAGGGGTATGCAGAGGTGCACATTACGGCACTTAATGCCACTGTACAATGTAACACCCACTTTTCACTATACAACATAACATCACGCCTTTTATCCTTGAAGGGGTAGGCAGAGATGCACATTACGGCACTTAATGCCACTGTACAATGTAACACCAACTTTTTACTATTTATGTTATGAGTCCCATGTAATAGGGGGTGTGCCTATTGCCATACACCGGCATTTCTTAATACCCTCCGATCATACACACATAAAGTAATCCCATGAACAATAATATATATTAATCTATATACTATATAATTCTATTTCACTATATAATATAAAAACTTCAGGAGTTAAAATACTCGCTTCATTCTTTGCATGTCTTTTGTACTTAACTAGCTTCTGATAGCGGCATCGCTCGCGTTTGTAGGATAAAAAATACCACATGTGGTATTCCAAAGTATAACCTATCTCTGTGCAAAATTTCGTCTAAATCCGTCCAGAAGTTTTTGCGTAAATGAGGAACACAATATGTACATATTATAACACAATCGCTTTTCGCTGTCTATTCCTATGTTTGCTTTGATCTTTAAAACTACGCAACTGATTTTGATGCGTTTTATTAAATAATAGGAGTAATTCAAGAGGAAGTTTTATATAAATAATAACTAGTTACTTGCTATCAACCACTGCTCATCTACTATAGATCGCAGCGTGATATTCTATAGCCTATCGCCTTCAGTAAATGGACTATCCGCCACAAAATGAATTATTAAAATCGAACCAGTCGTTTTGTAGATTATCACGTCGAAACGAACGAAATATGTAAATATACATATAATAAATACTTTATATATTATACAAAAGCTAGTAAAATACACAAGACATACATAAAAAGACTATTTTCAACCAAAAAGGTTATTATTATTTTCTGTTACCATGGTAATGAGGTGTAGCGAGGTTTGCAATGGAATTTGAGCTCTAAATATAAGGCGGTAAGTTGTATTGTCGTTCATCTGTCCGCTGTAGCTGCTTCTGCCTGCTTACGTCTATGTATTTTGCTGTCCAAATGTAATAGACACCCGACTGCACCGAAGTAGCTGTGAAAATAATGAATTTTCAGTTATTTTTGAGTCACTTATGCTGGAATACTGAAACGTTACTCAATTTTAAGACGTGCTTAAATATCATGCCATCTCTGTCATTTTATAAAGAATTTTAGTCAGCATATTACATTTTATAAAGAATGTGGGAGAGCCATGATTCGGCACGAATGGGCCGGCTCGACCGGAGTGATACCACGGCCGAGCAGAAAACTGACGTGAAGCAACGCTTGCGTTGTGTTTCGTCGTGTGAGTGAGGTTACCGGAGGCCCAATTACTCCTCCCTTCCCCAATCTCCCCAATTCCTGAACCCCAATGATCCTCAAACTCCTAATCCCTAAAAGGCCGGTAACGCACTTGTAACGCCTCTGGTGTTCCAGGTGTCCATAGGCGACGCCGATTGCTTACCATCAGGTGATCCGTCTGCTCGTTTACCGGCTTATGCCATTAAAAAAAAAGTAGAGACAGAACTATGCTTAAGCGCGACTTAAAATTGAGTAACGTTTCAGTATTCGGGCATTACGCCCGTATACTGAAAGACAACTCAATAGGGTAGATGACTAATTCTTATTTTAATGTCCGTCTGGTAGATTATTTAAAAATATTAGACAGTAATTATAATAACTATGAGACATACTAATTTAACTAAAAATCGCGGATTACTTACGTGAATATACTTAGAAAAGCACGCTAATAGTAGAGCTATTAGCGTGCGCGGTCGCGATGATGTTGTACAGCCTACTTCGCATATTTTCTCGGTATATTCACGTGAGTAACCCGCGATTTTTAGTGAAATTAGACACGTATTTTTTATGTTCTTACGGATACGAATACTTTCGACGACATATTTATTTGAAATGTCATTTCATGACGTCACTTCTATGTACATTTTATACGTAGAAATGACCTTTTAGCCCCCACTGCCTAAACTTTATATACTTTATAAAATTAATTATTATATTTTTTTTTATTATTATTTTATGTATATAGCATATAGCGGGCGTGTGCTGAAAATCAGCGCCGACTCAAGCTATCGCGCTCGGGCCACGGCATTTTAGCTGAGCACTGGCCTATTTGCGGCATTGTCACTGAAGTCGGGTACACGACACCCACGGTAAGAGTAGGGTTGGTGACAAATGTATTCTACTCTGTTAACATCACAAGATATATTCGATCGTAAAGTGGTAATTGTAAGGTTCATTTTACTTACCCTTCATGTTCCAAGAAGAGTGCTTTCAAAGCACCTCTGGACCAGTACGACATAGCGTACGAAAGCAACTTCATAGATAGCGGGTTCACTCTTAGGAAATTACCGCAGAACACCACCTGGGAATCGAACACGTAACTAGTAGAAGCTATAGGTGCATTTTCATCTGAATAAACTGAGTGTTTAATGAGTGAGTGCTGCATGAAGTGAGTGTGAGTGGTAAATGAACTATTCATATTCATTTATTTGCGTACTATAAAGTGAATAAGGTGTTACAATACGCTAAAAGCTAAGTTAGATTACTGAACCCCGTAGGGGCACAGCAAGTGAGTGAGTGAGTGAGTGAGGCTTAAGAGAGTGAGAAGTGAGTATGTATGAGCGAAATGAGTGAGTGTGAGTTATGCGAATAAGAGTGAATAAAGTGAGTATAAACAAGTCTCTTAAATATATTTATATCCCACTTAATCTTCTTATTAGAAGCGTGGAGCCTGCCAATAAAGCCGATTCAGTTGGTAATGGTAACGACGTCAATTAAGCCTTTAGCTGCCGATAAAAACTGTTAACTCTTTGAGTATCGTTATTATAGACACAATTAAAGAACAATAGGTAGCGGTCACCGGTGTCCTCGCGGTGTTTGACAGTTTAAGGCTGATCCTCCGCTAGCGTCAGACATTATTGTCCGACACGGCATCCAATGTGTTAAGTGGCATGATGTATTTAATATATGAGTGCGTGCAGTGCTAAAGTCATTTAAGGTAAACGAGTGAGTGTGAAAGAAGTGAGTGATTATGAGTTAAGTGAGTGAATTTGAGTAAGTAAGCGTTAAGAACTTAAGTAAAGTGAGTGAAGTGAAATGAGTGTGTTTGAGTAATTATCAGAGTGAAGTGAGTATAAGACGAGTATCTCACCCTCTCAATCCCCTCATTAGACGCGCAGAGCCGGGCGATGGAACCGATATTGTTGGTGATAGTCACAACAGTAGCTCGGGCGAGGTCGGCGCGAGACACCTTCGCACGACGCTCCGCTGAGCACATCTGACCGAAACTGGAATTGAAGGTTTTACTCGTAAAATAAGTGAAGTTTAGTTTATTAAATCTATATATATAAAAGAAAGTCGTGTTAGTTACACTATTTATAACTCAAGAACGCCTCAATCGATTTAGATGAAAATTGGCAGGGAGGTAGCTTAGAACCAGGAGACGGACATAGGGTACTTTTTATACAATACTTTTTTTTTACTTTTTACCGAAAATCACGAACGGGGACGGAGGGAAAATGGGATTGCGCGTACGAAGTCGCGGGCAGAAGCTAGTTGTGAATAATTTTAAGGTTCATTTCGCAACTTCTGCTTATGTTTCTGTCAACAGCAACTTGATAAAAATTGAGTACTTTACTTAATCAAAACATAAATTATTTTGACTGTTCAATCACTACATAGTATAAAACAAAGTCGCTATCCGCCGTCTGTCTGTCCCTATGTACGCTCTTTAAAACTACGCAACGGATTTTGATGCGGTTTTTTTAATAGATAAGAGTGATTCTTAAGGAAGGTTTATTTATATGTATAATACATGCATATTGCACCCGTGCGAAGCCGGGGCGGGTCGCTAGTACAATATAATATTAAAAATAAACACACTTTCATTAATTGATTTTATGACCAACTTAATTTTAGTATATTTCTAGCAAAATTTTAACAAATAATTCAGCTGTTTGACGCTAATAAAACGTGACGTCACAATACACAGTCTCGCACAAAATTCATAGAATACTCTCGTTTTTGACAGTTCGAAAAAAGTATTGAATTTGACTAGTTGGCAAGTACACGATTATGAAGCAAGTCGTTGATATCGTAAAGTAGTACCGACTTTCATTCTTACATTACCCTGAGAAAAGGTGAATTTTCTAAATCGTAATTTTTCATTCATTTCATCATAACATCACGCCTTTTATCGCCGAATGTAACACCCACTTTTCACTATTTATGTTATGAGTCCCATGTAATAGGGGGTGAGCCTATTGCCATATACAGGGCACAGTACCAGACTCCGTGCTACTACTGGAGAATTTTTAAAATCCCAGTAATACTTTGCCCGATCCAGGAATCGAACCCGAGACCCCTTGCCCGGCACCACTGCGACCACTCGGCCAACGAGGCAGTCACAATTATACATAAACAAATATCATCTCACCTGCTAGCAACCAAATCTCCAGGCAGTCCGAACCTAGCGTAATCTCCACCGTATATATCTCTAACGAGTTTGTCAACAGTGGTGTTATCTCCTGAGGCGGCGAGCGCTATGGCCTCCTCGAAGCTGCTGCAGCCAGTCAGAAGGCAACACAGGCCTAGGAATGTTCCACCGCCAAGACTGTGGAAAGTAGTTTAAATAGTTAAAAAAAAGTTAAGGATTACCTTACTATTTTCTTTTTCTTTTAAACGTTGCCCCCACACTAGTATTGTCTCCTGTGTCGTGTGTACGTTTACAAACATACAAGTTCACATACACATCACACACAGACCCGGAACAACAATTTGTGGATCACACAAAGTGTTTTTCCGTGCGGGAATCGAACCCGCGACACGTTGCACGGCAGCCGGTTGCCCAGCCACCGCACCAACCGTGCAGTCAAATTTATAAATCGGAAAGTGAGTTTGTTTGTTTGTTTGTTTGTTCCGCTTTCACGCCGTAACTACTAAACCGATTGCTTTGAAATTTTGCCGACGTAAAGTTTGAAGTCTGGATTAAATAATAGGGTTCTTTTTATCCCGGAAAAATTTTATATTCCCGAGGGAAAACCAAAGTATTGGTATAGATGGCGCTGTGTGTATTGGTATGTGTCACATAGGCTACTTTTTATCCTTTACGTGAGAGTTACCAGAGGTCCGGTTCGCTACCCACCCCATCCTCAAAAGGCGGGCAACGCTTTTGCAACACCTCTTGTTTTCCAGGTGTCTATGGGTGGCGCTGATTGCTTACCATCAAATGATCCGTAGGCTCCTTATATCGTTTAGAAAAACAGCACAACATCAGCACATTGCATGCACAGAGATGTAGACAAAAATGAAAAAGATAATAATAGGTATATAAATAAAATCAAAAAATAGACATCACAAAATTAGCAAAAATAGTTGCATGCCCATGCCGCCGTGGTAACACTCAACGCTGGTTTAGCCCCTATTACCACTAAAATGTCTTAGTCGGGTATGTGACACCCACATGAAGAGCAACGGTGGTGAAAACTAATTGACACTTGGCACTCAAATGATATTTTCCCTTAGATGACGTCCAGCTCACCTGGTCCCGCTGACGCGGTAGTAATCATCAGGCGCGTTGACGACGAGCACGGACACTCCGCTGCCAATGTTCACCAGCAGGAACGGGTACGGCGAGGAGAAGTCGAATGGTTTCCTCACGTACAGACTTAAGGCTGCTTCCGAATACGGCGGCTGGAATATAAAGAAATTACCACATAGTGAGAATTTTACAAAATAGTCGAAATATATAAATAACTAGCTTTTACCCGCGGCTTCGCTCGCGTCACAAAAGGATAAAAAGTAGCCTATGTCACATATACCAATACACACAGCGCCATCTATACCAACAATTTTGTTTTCCCTCGAGAATATCAAATTTTTCCGGGATAAAAAGTACCTTATTATTTAATCCAGACTTCTAACTTCACGTCTGCAAAAATTCAAAGCAATCGGTTTAGTAGTTACGGCGCGAAAGTGGAACAAACAAACAAACTCACTTTCCGATTTATAATATTAGTAAGGATACTTTTTGCCCGGTCGAAGAATCGAACCCGAGGCCTTGAGAGACTTGATCAGTCTTTTAACACCCTCACCACCAAGTTTTAATTTCGCAGACCTATATTTTTATAATGTTTGTTTTTTTTCCTTCATAAAATCGAAGCAAGTACCCACCGAGTCCGTGACGTGTGTATGCACGGCCTGTTCGTCCGGCGGCGCCCAGTAGTAGCACTCCTGCGCGTTCATGCAGTCCACGAACAGCACGCCGGCTATCAATGCGTCTAACTCGTCCATTTTCGACAGACGCATGTTTACTTCCTGTAAAGAAAAATTAATTATAATCACTACATAGTATAATGAATAATGATTGCCTCGTTGGCCGAGTGGTCGCAAGTGCGACTGCCGACCAAGGGGCCTCGGGTTCGATTCCCGGATCGGGCAAAGTATTACTGGGTTTTGAAAATATTCTCAGAGTCTGGAACTGTGTCCGGTATATGGCAATAGGCTCACCCCCTATTACATGGGACTCATATCATAAATAGTGAAAAGTGGGTGTCACATCGTACAGTGGCATAATGTGCACCTCTGCCTACCCCTTCGAGGATAAAAGGCGTAACATAATAAAATTGATTTCCGCCGTCTGTATGTCTGTACGCTTAGATCTTTAAAATATGTACCAGATTTTGATGGAGTTTTTTAGTGGATAGTGTTTTAAGGTTTATTTATATGTTTAATAACATAAACGTGTGAATCCGCGGGCAAATTGCTAGTAAATAGATAATACTTTCAATTGATTGTACTTTCATATGAATCGGACGTATTGATTAACTCATTAGAAAATTAAAACAAAATAATTACGATTGCAATATCGTGACCTAGATTAACAATTGCACATTAATACTGGACAAAACGTGCGTCATCGTGTAAAAGTGTAAATTGACAATGTTCTATAATTGACAAGTGAATACTTTGCATCATGGAAAACAGCCCATTTGCCAAGAGTAACAGGGTTGTACGATCTCCACCTGGTACACCTGCATCGACCTTACAACCACCGACCCCAAGTACCGATGCTCCTGAAACCGTTGCGACGCCCGAGATCCAGAAGTGGTTAACGACAATCGACCAGAGTCTTACTGACATATGCAATATTGTCAGTGATGGCAAGATGAACTCGGAACAAAAGCTGCGAGTCAACGCCCTTTGCAGGAGAGTGAGTAACGGGACTTCACAGATGGCAGTACTTTACCAATCCCTTAAAGCCAGAGCCTTACTTGCCCACCAAAACGCTTGTAACCTTGAGAATCAATTAGACCTCTCCCTGCAGCTTAAAGATCTTCAACAGAGAATTGCTGAAACTCCCAACCCTACCAGAACAAATTCTTTCGCCGATATGGTAAAAAAAGGTACGAATAATTTCATCCAGCCCTTAAAAGTAAGTTCTGTAGTAATTTATCCAAACGATAAAACGAAGACGAGTGACGAGACGAAACTATTAGTCCAAAAAATCATCCGCCCTGAAGAAATGAAACTACAAGTAAGAGGCCTTCACAAAACTAAAAACGGCGGTGTCATCATCAGTACCGAGTCAAAAGGCGATATTGAGAAGTTGAGACAATCAGCGCAACTCACAAGCTCAGGTCTTACCGTCGATGAGCCGAAGAAAAGAAAGCCCAGAGTCGTCATCATAGGAGTGCCATCAGCTATGTCCGACAAAGACGCTTTAGTATGCTTGTACCATCAAAATCTGGCAGACAAATTGGAAAATTGCAGTCTTGACGCTTTCTTGGAGACAACTAAGTTAAGCCATAAATCAGGGAGGAGAGATGCTGAGACCTGCAATTATGTGGTCGAAGTAACTGCAGTCATTCGAAAAGCCCTAATATCCAAAGACCGAGTCTTTATAAATTGGTCATCATGCCCTGTTCGCGACTTCACTCTGGTGACCAGGTGCTTCAAGTGCCAGCAGTACGGACATGCTGCTAAATCATGTCGACAGACCTCTTTTACTTGTGGACATTGTGGCGAACAAGGTCATAACATAAAAGATTGCCCAAAAAAATCAGATGAGCCGAAATGTGCTACTTGCCTTTACTTCAAGAAGCCCCACAATCACATGACTGGTGCTACTGAATGTCCTGCAAAAGTTATGGCCGAAAAAAGGTACATAAACTCGGTGGACTATGGCGACACGTAAGAACGCTACAACTTATTCTAAATATATTACAATTGCGTAATGTAAACAGGTTGACTTACTCATCGGCTAGTTGCTGTCTAAGCACTTTATTGTAATTTGTACAGCAAGTGTATGATCGTAGACTTTGACCTAGTTTATATATCTACCGTTGCAAGTAATTTTTCGACTATAGTGATAAATAATATGCCTTTTGTCTAAGTTAAATCGTACTTAATTTTAATTCTTTGTGTATTGGATACCTAATTATCTACCTACACCATATTGTCATGTTACTCTTAAGTTGTTTCACCTCTGCCTATCTCTTCCGGGAGTATAAGGCGCGAGGTATGTGTTTATGTATATTATATAGTCTTTATATTATTTGTCAAAATATTGTCAAGTATTAATTAATAATTAGCATGTAAGAGCGTATATAGAAATAAAATTATAATTATGTTAGACCTATTCTCGCCTGTGACACAGGATTATCCTAGTACAGGCACCCAACCATGTAAGATCTATTTTATTTACCCAAGAAATATTTTTGTATCTGTGTCCATTTTCATTTCTGAATAAAGATTTTATTATTTATTATTATTAATAATTGCGTGACGGTACAGTAAACACACATTTTAACCACTCCTCCTCTTCCCGCGATATATACCGATATACACATATGATAGAGACCGGGCAGCAGCGCTCTCTGATAAACCTGAACCTTTTACACTGCGAGCTTCCAAGCGTAAGTACATATCTTAAAATATTATTCTAGATAATACTCTAGGAGCCATCAGACCACCACGGATGGGGCCCCGATGCCGATTCGGAGACATGGAGAACCTAACGGGTTACCGGGACTCCGGCTCGACGTGCAGGAGAAGGAACGGGGTGGTTTTTAGTCAGTAAGAGTCTAACACTCCCCTCCCACCTCACCCAGGCGGGAGCAGTCATTCGATGATTTTTGCCCCCTTAAAAAAAGAAAAAAGACGTACCTTTATAAAATCCTCTTCAAATTTGTAAGCGCCGCCGCCGGTCGCGTATATAGTGTTCACTAAATCAGCCATGCCCTTAGACCGGGCGAGCTGAAGGAAGGCCCCAACTTCGGACGTCGGGAACCTTATGAAGTGGAGAGTGCCGCGTCTACCTCTAATGGTTACATTGTCCATCTGTGGGTAAAAAGAAAAATAATTAATTAACCGACTTCAAAATAACAGGGGGCTTACTCCTGAATCCAATTCCGATCGATCGACATTGGTATTGTGAAATTTCGTACTCTTGAGTTGCAACACTAGCGCCCATTGCATCCGTATTGCGTGAATATTGAATGAACTAAATGGTATTGACTTCGACTTTATATTCCGTACTCTGAATGCTATTGTAACAGCTACGATTGTGGTTGTATAGTGTTGACATTGAATTATTATTGAGATTTGATTGGTTTTTTTTTTAAATACTTTGTCCCACACTAGGATTTTCTCCTGTGTCGTGTGTGCGTTTACAAACATACAAGTTCACATACACATGACACCCAGACCCGAAACAACAATTTGTGGATCACACAAAGTGTTGTTCCGTGCGGAAATCGAACCCGCGACACGTTGCACGGCAGCCGGTTGCCCAGCCACCGCACCAACCGTGCAGTCAGATTGAAAAAAATTGATTGAAATTGCGTTGACATTGAGATTGGTTTCAATAGTAAGCACCCTGAGGTACTCAGTGTGATCTGTATGTATGTAGGTATGTGTGTGCGCAATTACCTCGCGACTGACTGAACCGACTTAGATATGGTTTTCAAAAAACTGATTGTTACACTTGTAGGTTTTTTTAGAATATTAATATTGGGTACTTGCCAACTAGTCGAATTCAATAGTTTTTTCGAACTGTCAAAGAAAAGAGTTTTCTATGAATTGTGTATTGTGACGTCACGTTTTTTTAGTGTCAAACAGCATAGGGTGAACTCATCTAACTCCGTGACAAAGGCATTTGAGTAATAAAATACCAATAAATTATTAATTAATTTAATTCAGTCTCCGCATGAGTTTTAATCAGTCTTTTATGAGGAATATTAGCACAAATAATCAAATTTTTTTCTAGAAACCTAAGAGTTCTACCAAATTTACTAAACCGAATTATTAGGCGAGTCACAGAATTAGATGAGTTCACTATACTTATTCCTTAAAAAAATGCTGGAAAAATACTAAAACTAAGTTGGTCGTAAAATCAATTAATGAAAGTGTGATTATTTTTTAATATTTTATTGTATTGAACAGTCGATATAATTTATTTTTGATTAAAGCAAGTACCCAATTAAGCGATCGACTGCCTTGTTGGCCGAGTGGTCACAAGTGCGACTACCGGGCAAAGAGTCTCGGATTGGTTTCCCGGTTCAGGCAAATTAACCAACATTCCAATTGTTGGGATTACGCACTTGTAACGCCTTGGTGTTCCGTGTATCCATGGGCGACGCTGATTGCTTACTATCAAGTGATCTGTCTGCTCGTTTACCAGCTTATCCCATAAGCCAAAAAGTTATATGTCAAAAGCGCAACTGGCTGGTAGGAAGTTGGGTTAGCATCCTTGTGCGTACTGCTAAGGAGTGGAATTCTTTGCCAGAGTCTGTGTTTCCTGAAGGATATATAACCTGGGTGCCTTCAAGGCCCGAGTGAATAGGTAGCTTATGGGACGACGTGCTCCATCGTAGACCGCATCATCGCTTACTACCAGGCGAGATAGTGGTCAAACGTCGGCCCAACAAATATAAAAAAAAATTGGTTGCCTGTAAAGTCGGTATACGGGCGAAAGTTTTACGTGACAACGACTTTGAGTGGTAAAATAATTTTAATGTGAATATTCATTCGTATAGTAGAAAGAAGGATGAAATGTATGCAGGCGCCTAAGCGAAATAGAAGCGCAAGACATGAACCGGTGTGTATGCCTATCTCTCTCACTCTCTCTCTCGCTCTTAGGCGGGCTAACCATGCACGAGTGGAAGGGACGCGTGCCTCTCACTCGCTCTCATTGTGAGCGCATAACGTAAGCGGAGCGTAACGCAGTTTCTTGAAGTGTCACCCGGCAAACCAATTTATAAGACGTTGTCACGTCAAAATAAAAAAAAATATTACCTGCAAATGTACATCCCGTCTCCCAGTCTTCCCATAGGCGGAGTTCCTGGTGAGATATCTTCTGATATTCTTAAGAACTTCTGTCTCCTTATCCAGCTCCCGTCTATTCGTCTCCCGGGGCTCAAAGTAGACCAGCTTCGTTAGGGTGCCACCGATGTCCATGCCGAACCACGGCATCGCTGTGGAAAGACCAAAGAGTATTATAGTCAGAATTTTAATTAGATTCTAGATTTAACAATAGCTACTGTCATTTTGTGAAATAATGATACCACATATAATAGTGTAGTGATGCACACAAAAATCGATAAACAATCAGTGTGTGTGTTTTATAATAAATGTTACAGAAAGTGATAGCGATAGCGATGATGGCGACAATTTATAAAATAAATTATTACCATAACACATCTATCTGTTTTATTTGTCATGTTCCTTCATGATTACATTTTTTTATTTATTTCACACACAATTATAAAATAAACGTCTCAGATCGTTAATTAATCGTCAAAACTGAATTATCGGTTCAGAAATACTTATTTAATTTCCTGATATACTTAGTTTACAAAAGTAAAATTATAAACGAGAAGAATCGATCCAGAAATATTCCATTTCCATATCGAATAATTTCGCAACGTCACTATTTAGTACTTGTCATAACGTTGCCACACTGAAATTGTCAAATCTGAATTCGAATTAAAATTCCGAGTATAGTAGATAGAATAATTTTTAGCTTAAGTCATTCTGCCTTCTAAATTCACGGAGGGCAGTGGAAACTATCGTTTTTTTTTCATAACATGACGCGTTTTATCCCTGAAGGAGTAGGCAGAGGTGCACATTACGGTAATAAATGCCACTGTACAATGTAACACCCACTTTTCACTCCTGTAATAGGTCCATAGGTAGTCCCATGTAATAGGGGGTTACCCACCCCTATTACATGGTTTATCAAAGAGCACTGCACCTTGGCCTAACGGATTATGTACTTGTAGATAGCTTTTACTGCCTCGTTGGCCGAGTGGTCGCAAGTGCGACTGCCGGGCAAGGGGTCTCGGGTTCAATTCCCGGGTCGGGCAAAGTATTACTGGGTTTTTAAAAATCTCAGTAGTAGCACGGAGTCTGGAAATGTGCCCGGTATATGGCAATAGGCTCACCCCCTATTACATGGGACTCATAACATAAATAGTGAAAAGTGGGTGTTACTTCTGCGTGCACCTCTGCCTACACGTTCGGGGATAAAAGGCGTGATGTTACGTATTATTTTTTTCATTTTTGTCTACATCATGCGAATAAATGTTTTTCTAAATGAGCCTACTAGAGGATCACTTGATGGTAAGCAGATGGATATAGATTAGGTAGATACATACGGGGCGCTTCGTTATCTGGTGGAGTGGGCGGCGTCTCCATCTTGAGGCAGTTCTCCTTGCTCATCGTTTGCGTGTAAGGCCCTCGTCTTGCTCTTTGTAATACTCTAGTCCTGGAATTGATAACAGAACAATGTTATTCTAGTGTTAAAAATAAAAATAAATAAAATAATTTCGACACAGTAACAAAGTCTTTTTTCTAAGACAACTAAGTAATAAATACAATTTCCAAAACCCAAAAATTCCAAACACAATCAATAACCTAACTTATTAACTATAATATAATTATTTTTAATTAAGTCTCTATAGATTTCTTGCTATATTTTTTCCCATCTTCTCTTAATATGTCTATCTGGTTAAATACTTTAGGTACTAAGTAAGCGGATGTTCTTTTCCCATAATATTTTTTTATATCTGATACAGTAAATGACAATGTCCAAAATGGCCCTGTGCAATAAAGAGTATCAGAATACATATACGATAATTAATCCCCTATTTAATTATATACGTTGCAAATACTTCTGTATCACGGACTAGCTGTATTCCAAAATGTACTTTTAATAGAATCTAATCCGATTAATAACATTAGATCGCCATATTCGCCTAACCCCAAATGACTTCGCCTAATGTAATAAATAAATAAATCAGCAAGTCCTATGTCATGTCGTGTCGAAAGTGAAATAGGGATGTCCAATCAATTATAATCGATCGACTGATTTTTTTCTATGAATGCTATCATACTCCAATTTAAATAGGTAGTAAATACAGTTATACAGTAATCAAAACCTCCTTACTTTATACAATCACTCAAACATTAAATATTCGTTCAAATATTAGTTGCTATGGTTAGATTATAACCTCAAAATCTGATGCTTTTTTTGAAATATATATTTTCTGCAGCTAGTCCGCTATAAAAACAAGATCTTCTAGGAGTCTACAAATTATAGAGAGTACAACACATTATTTATCCGATACTCTTGGCTAGAGGGCCAACAATGTATGGACGCAGAGCAATGTCCTTAGTTTTCTTTGTTTTTTTTTTTATATTTTATATTTGATGGGGCGACGTTTGACCACTATCTCGCCTGGTGGTAAGCGATGATGCGGTCTACGATGGAGCACGTCGACCCATAAGCAACCTATTCACTCAGGCCTTGAAGATTCCCAGGTTATATATACCCTTCATGAAATACAGACTCTGGCAAAGAATTTCACTCTTTAGCAGTACGCACAAGGAAGCTTGAAGCGAAACGCTTCGTGCGTGTGGGTGGGACATCTACCATGAATCGGTGACGCTTTGCCGATTGTCTTGTTGTACGACGATGGAAAGGACTAGGAGGAATCAAGTTGTGCAATTTGTGGCTACCATGATGATGATAATGTAATAAGAACTGACATCTATCGTGATACGATCAACTATCATACAATTAACTACCTGGGTATGGTCCTGGGTATGGCAGAGAGCGGCGTGGCGCGCCGCTGTCGGCCGCACGCCGCGAGACACCCCTCACACCGGTGCAGTCGCATCTATAACGAAATATAAATACATTATACACAACAAGTTTAGGCGACCAAACACGAAAACAAGTAATATAGACTTCTTTTTTCGACCATTCTTTTATGAGAATTGCCGGCGAAGACGCATTCAGATGTTTACTCTTGAATCCAATTCCGATCGATCGACATTGATATTGTGGAATTTCGTACTCTTGAGTTGAAATACTAGCGCCCATTGCATCCGGATTGCGTGGATATTGAATGAACTAAATGGTATTCAGTTTGTCTTTATATTCCGTACTCTGAATGCTATTGTAACAGCTACGGTTGTGGTTGTATAGTGTTGACATTGAATAATTATTGAGTTTTCATTGGATTGAAACTGCAGTGACATTGAGATTGGTTTCAAGAGCAAGCACCCTGATGGTAAGCAATCGGCGTCGCCCATGGACACCTGGAACACCAGAGGCGTTACAAGTGCGTTACCGGCCTTTTGGGTATTAGGGGCTTGTGATACCACGGCCCCAGAGAAAACTGACGAGAAGCAACGCTTGCATTGTGTTTCGTCATGTGAGTGAGGTTACTCTTTCCCTAATCTCCCCAATCCCCAACAATCCTCAAACTCCTAATTCCGAAAAGACCGGTAACGCTCTTGTAACGCCTCTGGTGTTCCAGGTGTCCATAGGCGACGCCGATTGCTTACCATCAGGTGATCCGTCTGCTCGTTTACCGGCTTATTCCAAAAAAAGCTTCTCAAATAGGGACCGGAAAATATGGCGCAATGGTTCCAGTAAAGGATGGTAAATGGTAATGGTACTCCTTTTTAAAAGGCCGGCAACGCACCTGTGATTCCTCTGGTGTTCCAGGTGTCTATGGGCGACGCTGATCGCTTACCATCAGGTGATCCGTATGCTCGTTTGCCTACTATTCCATAAAAAAAATGATACGGCAGTGTTTGCTTCGCGCTCGACTTGGCGATTTATTTATTTTTACAACTTTAATATTGTGTTCTGACATCTTTAACTAGATTGTTCCGGCATTCAAAACAGTATTATATAGTCACTACATAGTATAAAACAAAGTCGCGATCCGCCGTCTGTCTGTCCCTGTGTATGCTTAGATCTTTAACATCCTCAGTGCCAGGTTATCATTTATGCACATACTTGTTACTACATTGTGTATAAAAAATGATATACACGGCCCACAAGTCATCAGAAAAATAATTAACTAAAATCGCGGGTTACTCACGTGAATATACTGAGAAAAGCTCTACTAGTTTCGAACCACAGAGGGGTTCTTCCTCATGAGCAGCGTGCGCGTCGCGGCGATGTCGCGCAGCTCACTGTTTTTACTTAATTTAGTATGTCTCACGATAGTTATTATAAAAAACATCAGAAAAATATGTTTCGTGGGTCCGTGTATCATTTTTGATGCACACTCCTAAAATCCTTAAAAATAAAAGATGGTTAATGAGAAAAAATAGTAATTAATATCATTCATAAGATTATGAGGGAGAAAAAAACATCATAAAAATTTAGGTCTGCGAGATTAAAACTTGGTGGTGAGGGTGTTAAAACTACGCAACGGATTTTGATGCGATTCTTAAGGAAGGTTTATATATATGTCGGAGGAAGCTGGGAGTTAATTGTTACTTGCATTGCATAACGCACATTAATTTTTGTTTGTTTTATATTCACTTTTTAAAATGCCTAAATTAATTTAAATTGATTTGTCACACTTAAAATTCTTAATTTGATTTATTAGAATTATAAATAATTTGAATTTGACTGCCTAAGTAACGACCAATCAGAGCAGAGCGCGCGCCTCGAGCGGGGTCGAGGCGCCATCTTACTGATAAAAAGGGAGATAGTTTTGGCGGGAGAGCATGAATTGGCTATCGGTCGAGTTGGATCGTTTATGTGATTTACTGTAAGATCGGTGCCCTGAACCCGCTGCTCAGCCTAATTATTAACTTTTCTTTTGCGTTATTGTGAAACAGATAAAACTATTGTTACTATCTAAATTAAAAGAGTGTTTATTGTGAATATTGTGTTTTGTGCTCGCATTTTACCCTCATGACGCCCACTAAGCCCGCAATCACAAATGACGATGTTGGCGATGACAATGTTTCTCCGACATCAGAAGTGGGATCGGTGCAGGCACAAAGCGTGAGTGAATTGACTACGATAAATGACGGATGGCGTGCGTTATTCGAAGCGCAACAAAACAGCATGAGATTACTCGTGGAGACGTTAACCAAGACACCGAATACAGAGGATAAGAGCATCACGCTGCCTAAGTTTCACCCAGAAGATGCCGACACTGACGCCCGGGCTTGGCTAGCAACAGTGGACATTTGCTTATCGGAACGTGACATACAGGGAAGTAAATTAGTTCTTATACTTAGTAAGGCCATGAAAGGTTCTGCTGCAACATGGTTTTCTCAGATAGCTTTTCCTAGTATGAAGTGGATAGAATTCAAAGAAATTTTTCTTTCTCGTTTCGATACATTAGAAACATGTGCAGCAACGATATTAAAGATGGTTACTGGTAATCCGCAAGAAGGTGAATGTCTTGCTGCATATGCAAGCCGTTTATTCACTTTACTCATGGCACGGTGGGGTAATAAGGACAAGGAAGAAATGGTGGTTTCCTTAATACTTGCGCACATGGGACAAATCGAGCCACGATTACAACGCAATATTTTTTCTGAAGAAATAACTACCCGTAGTAAGATGCAACGTGAACTAATGGCGTTCTCCTATCGTAAGCGGAGTTACCAAGAGATAACAAAAACTGTTGCAAGTACTACACAAGATAATAAACGTCCTAGGTTAAGTTCTGTCTCGACCAAATGTTACGCATGTGGAAAGTTAGGTCATAGATCTTACGAATGTTTCAGCCAATCGCATGACAAGCAGCAACCAACTCCGATTTCCGAACGGCCCGGCACGGCCGTTACTATGCGGGCCCCTGTGACTTGCTACAAGTGTGGTGTCGAGGGCCACGTTGCATCACGGTGTCCCAAGACATGGCCAGTTACGAGCAGCAGCGCACAGCCTGCCAGTGCTTCCAGCGTTGTGAAGCGAGTGGACGTATGCAATATAATAACGCAATTTGGGAATATTCAATACCGGGATAATAACGCAATTTGGTGAGAAGTTTTCATTTTGTTTCGATTCCGGTGCTGACTGTTCTTTGATCAAAGAGAGCGTCTCTCGTAAGCTTCTCGGTACATTACAGCGTGCAATTGTTACTTTGACTGATGTAGGAAAATGTAGTGTATTATGTGAATCTCAAATGTTATCGGAGGTCACCCTTTGTGGTCATGACGTGCAAATTTTATTTCACATTATACCCGATGACTACTTAAATAACGAAATTTTGATTGGTCGCGATTTGTTAGCCTTAGGTTTGTCAGTTCACATATCGAGTGATAAACTCACTATAGTTGAGAAGTCTTCTTTAGTTAATATGTGCAATGTAGATAACGCGGTGGCTGATTTTCATGACATAGATACTGATATACCTGATGATCTTAAACCAAAACTAATAGAACTACTTAGCGGCTTTAAGAACTCATTCGTTGACGGCACGCCTACTAGTAGAGTAAAGACAGGTGAACTGGATATTAATTTAGTAGATCCTACTAAAATCGTGCAACGGCGGCCATATCATTTGAGCCCTGAAGAGCGACAGATAATACGTAATAAGTGCAGTGAACTATTATCTGCTGGAGTTATAAGACCAAGCAAATCGCCCTTTTCTAGCCCAATACTCTTAGTGAAAAAGCGCGATGGTACGGATAGAATGTGCGTAGATTACCGAGAGTTAAACTTTAATACGGTTCCCGACCGGTACCCCTTACCTCTTATGGGCGATCAAGTTCAAAGATTATCAGGCGCGCGATTTTACACTTGTATGGCTATGGTATATGGCTAGTGGATTTTATCAGGTAGAATCAAATTCGATAGAAAAAACGGCTTTTATCACTCCTGATGCTCATTATGAGTTTACTGCCATGCCATTTGGCTTGCACATTTATTTTGTTTCTTTAATTTACAATGATTTGTTATCAGAATGCGTGTGTGTGTGTGTATCTGCTAGTTTCTTGTGAAATATCCTAACAGCGTTGGTGGACATTAAAGCTATGTTTAGCTATGTTTCGGTTAAAAAGGCGAGGTGGCCATTGAAAGGCGAGGTGGCCATTGAAAGGCGAGGTGGCCATTGAAAGGCGAGGTGGCCATTGAAAGGCGAGGTGGCCATTAAAAGGCGAGGTGGCCATTAAAAGGCGAGGTGGCCATAGAAAATCGAGGTGGCGGTTTAAGTTGGAAATCGGCACAACCTTAGCGAGGTGGCCATATAAAATATTGTTAAATATCCGAAACGCGGAAAATGGCGAGTTGGCTTTTTCGCTACTACGGATTTCATTTAGTATGTAAAGTGGAGTCTATTAGGATTCAGGTTCAGTAACGAAAGGCTTATTATGAAGCATCTATTTAAAGCAATTCTGAAGCGTTGTTGCGTAGGAGATAAACTGTATTAATGTACACGATATCCTTAGTCAGGAGTGCCACAAGTTTTAAACCTAATTATTATATATTCATTAAAACCTTAATAGATACCTAACATTATTGAGCTGTTTACAATTTTATTATGGATTATACCAGCTGTGACTTTTGTATACTTTATATTTTATTGTGGGTTTGCGGCACCGACTTCTAACCTATCAGTGGGTGTGTAAGCTATAAGTACGTATGACCACTAATAGTTTTTTTTTCCTTTTTAGTTTTTACTTTTTGTTTGTCATTTGTTTTTGAAGTCGGTTTTTTTAAACGCAGTTTTTTAATTTTATTTTATACTTTTTAGTTTAGTACTTTGATATATTATATTATACAAAACCCACATGGATGCAAAGTTTTCATCAATACAAATTATGCAAGTTCAAACACCGGGTGGGTACTCCTAACCATTGAGGAGTCCCTTAGCTATCATACTACTTCGTCATTGGACCTTTAATGACCATCACC